GTTATTGTGACAGATGCGTGTCAAAAAACCCTTTTACCCCAGGATACTTGGGGAAAAAAATGGATCATGAACCAGTAGGGATTTCTAGAGAAAACAAATCTTTAAAGAAATATATTTTATGGAACACTAAATAAAATACTAATTTACTTATCTGCATTTTGCCTCTTTATTATACAAAGAAAAAAATATAAAGGGGAAATCATTAAAAATGAACCGACTGAAGCATTGGATAGAGTACATTCTCATAAAACGTTAAACAAAATACAGCGCCGCGACCGAGGCTATCACTGAGGCTTATGGGAAAATTTATCTGCCAAAGTGGCAAGGAACAACCAACTGTACACAAATAAGCCAATAAATCAGATGTGCACAGAAAACTCAGGCCTTGGCACGAAGCCAAAGTCTAAATGGACAAACGAAAAAGACTTTTCGCTGGAACTTACAGCCAGTGAACAAAGAAGAGATATCTGCATTTATGGGGATTATCACATAACGAGATTTACTGGATGTAGGCTAGGGGTACATGAGACCATAAACAATATACTGCATGATTTATTGCCTAGTTTGTTTATCTGCTCAGCAGGTACAGAACTATATAGTGTACACTAATATAACACGAAGCGTTAATAAACAGTAAAATCCTTTAAACTAAAATACAAATATCACAGTTCATTATTTCACATGACGGCTCACACAGAAGTCTAAGACTAACCAAGTGTTCATTCCTCACAGTAATTATCTTCTTCGTGTTCTTTTCCCTGGTCCTGTTCTGCCTTTCAGACCTCTAGTGATGTTTCCGTTGAATCTAAGTTAAAGACTCCCCCTCTTGGTGCACTGTCCTATGGCAGACGCTCTTGACATATTCGCAACTATTTTTGTTGTTTTTGTAGTTGTTGTTGTTGTTGAAATAACAAGCAATTCTCACAAAGAACCAATAATGTCAAAGAGAATATATTGTTTTGAATTGCATAACCACAAACACAAGAGCACATTCTGCATAACCACCCACTTTACATAGAACTTTGAAAAGACACCTGGCCTCAAGAGCAAAGGGTGCAGAGCAGTCAGTTCTGAACATGAAGGACCTACTGTTGATATACAAAGTCATAGAAGTAACCCTCCTGATCTGAGCATTCGAAACCGATCGCAAAAAAAGAATAATAATAATAATAATAATAATAGTAATAATAATAATAATAAGAAGAAGAAGAAAGAAGAAGAAGAAGAAGAAGAAGAAGAAGAAGAAGAAGAAGAAGAAGAAGAAGAAGAAGAAGAAGAAGAAGAAGAAGAAGAAGAAGAAGAAAGAAGAAAGAAGAAGAACAACAAGAAGAACAAGAAGAAGAAGAAGAAGAAGAAGAAGAAGAAGAATGTCAGAACCCATAAGAAGAATAAGAAGAAGAAGAAGTTCTTCTCAAATTTTCGTTTAAGAAAAAAAAAGAAGAAATCCTTATAAGACTAAAACTAATCCAAAGAAGAAGAAAAGTAAGAAGAAGCAGAAGAAGGAGAAAACAGAAGAAAAGAAGAATATCCAGATGTGAACCATTAGCCCACTAAGAAGAAGAAGACGAAGAAGAAGAAGAATGCTTTAACTACGTTAGAAGGACTAAACAATTAGAAGAAGTAGACAAATAACAAGGGGAAGTTAAGAACAAGAACAAGAACAACTCGATCCAACATGCCACGAAGCAAAAGAAGAAGATAAGAAAGAAGAAGAACCTCGCCTCCAAGACTCTAGGAGAACAGCCCTATCAGAAGCAGCTCAGAAGAATCAAGTAAGGAAAGAATTTTGAATAAGAAACAAACTCGGGCGAAATACTGAAAAAGACAGAAGAAGACGAATTGCTATGTCAGTTAAACCAACAGCCCTTTTGCCCAGTAAAAATCTTAAACAGGCGCCCTCTCCAAATTTCGTTTAAGACAAAAATTTTGATCCTTACAATTTTCTAAAACTCTATCCTAATTAACTTGGAAAAGAGTTAAAGAAACAGAAGAAATTTGGAGTCTTGTGAGTTTTTATGAATATCCAGATTGTGAAACCATTAGACCACTGAACAGACAGGCAGGTGTCAAGTCCTCTGCTTCTTTAATGACGTCACGTGACTAAACAATTACGAGTCACTAAACAAATAACACGGGAAATGTTTATTTCTACGTCAACCCACCCATACTCGTTCCAGGCATGCCCAGGCAAACTATTAGTACTTTTCAAGACTAACGGACCTCGCCTCCCAAACTCTAGGAAGAACAGCCCTATGAAAAGCCGCTCAAGCCAGACCACGTCGGAAATGTTACGCATATCAACAAACTCTGGCGAAACTGATCGCCATCTCCCTTTGTAGAATATTCTACCAAGAAAGCAAAGAAGTTTAGCCCTCAATAAAGTTGCAGGTTGTCGGGCCACCGCTCATACAGGACTAAGCGGGTGGAGCCAACATTTGTGTTAAAGGAGATAATTGGAATATAAATTTTATCGTAAAGGGAAGTAATGACTGTAAAAATTGGAAGCAAACATTTAACTGAGCTTCTTCCCTTCCACCATTGAGTAGAGGTTTGGATCACTTTGCCATACTGGCAATGTGACGCAATAATAAAATTATATTACGTCAAGGTTATGTCTCAATATTTAAAATACTTTTTGTTTTCCTATCACCACAAATAATGTCTTAAAATTGTATAGTGTATACGCGCCATAAATTTACAGCCAGTATCAAAGCTGTCATAGGTGTACTGACCACTGTCCAATGATATCATGTCAAACAAAAACTCGTAAAAACTGGAAAAACGGTTTTCTAGGAGCCGAGAGGATTAAATCGCGTCACATTGACGAATTAGTGAGGCTTTGTGTGACTCAAGTGAGCCACAATGATAGGATTAGTTACAGAAAGTGAAGTGACCACAAGGCAGGGAGTAAGCTGCGGATTATCCCAAAGAATAAGTAAGAGATGGGTGAAGGTCTATGCTACTATCGGGAGACAAAGGTCACAAGAAGAAGAAGATACGAGGGCCTAGAAGGAGAGAGAAGGAGACTGAGAAAGAAGAAGTGGGGCATAATTGAATATAGGTGGGAGAAGGACGAAGACTGACGCTGATGATTACTGTTACAATGGGAGTGGTAGTGATAAAATACTGATTGCGACTGCAACAAAAGCTCATGCTACTACTACTAATATAACGTCAACTACAACTACGACCACCAGCACCAGCACCACCACTACTACTTCTGCCACTGCTGCTACTACTACTTCTGCCGCTGCTGCTGCTGCTGCTGCTACTACTACTACTACTACTACTACTACTACTACTACTACTACTACTACTACTACTACTACTACTACTACTACTACTACTATACCTACTACTACTATTACTACTACTATCCCTACTTCTATATCATTACTGCTACCACCTCACACCACTACACAGTTAGTACTACCATTTCTTCTTTTGCCAAAATCTGCTTATGCCGCTAGGCCTTGCAGTTTATCAGACTATCGGTCGTTTTATATGCCGTGATATTATGCAGTCTCAAGGTGTCATTGACTCCTTTAAGTCAATATTCTTCTCCTGCATCTTGGTGTTTCTATTTTCAGGCTGGTGCCACTACCACTACCACGATCATGAATATTAGTAATAGTGTTTCTGTCATTACCACTACTACTCTATCATTACTACTACTATTACTACTACTAATACCGCTATTATTACTAGACCATTTTTACGACTGCTGCTGCTACTACTACTACTACTACTACTACTACTACTACTACTACTACTACTACTACTACTACTACTACTACTACTACTACTACTACTACTACTACTACTACTACTACCACCCCATCATCACCACCACCACTACCACCATCATTATCATCACTGCTACAATTCCCCTTTTACTATAACCCACTACCACTGCCTCTGCTATTATTATTACTACTAGTATTGTACAACTGCTATAAGATATATGGTTGTGTTTATAGCTCACAAACTCAAAACCTCTCTTGTCGTTTCAGAAAAATGGAAGCTTGTGTTACCGAGGAATGCCGCACAAAAGTCCCAGGGAGAAGTTTGTTCTGCCAGGGAACATCCAGGCGCTGTGTGACACCGAGTCTGATGGTGGAGGTTGGATAGTGCTTCAGGTAATTACCCATTCTTTCAATCAAGCTGTCTGCATATCTTTTCTTCGGAAATTGACCTCTGTTATGCTTCTATTCCAGCATGAATTACGGTCAGGTATTTCCCCCCCTTAGAAAACAAATGGTGCCGGTACTCACCCCAGTGTCTATTGCAGTAGCGTGCATACTTTTAAAAATCCTTCAAAGATCCAGAAAGCATGCTGAGGAAGGTGAGGACAGGCATGCTTCGTCCAGAGTGGCATGCTTCAATACGGAGGTCATGGATGAGGAGCATTGTCTGGATCTTTTCACAGGGGTCATGCTGGTGTATTGATAAATGAACAGGCGGACAGAATGGTTGGCTAAGCACAACTTGGTGAAATAGGGATTCACGATAAGACAGACGCAGTTATGGTCTTGTGGGAGAACGTGTGCAATTCAGAAGAGCGAATAGATCATCACAGTCAGGTGTGAGTAATGCAGCGGGGAGTAACAATGAGTTTTGGCTGATACGCGACTTTCAGAGAAAAAGCAAAGACGAAGGTGTAGTCAGAACGCTACTGGCACAACTAGTATCGAAATTCTGCACTCATGCTGAAGAAAGGGACCGAGCGCTTGTGGGAATGCACCGAGTATTGGAATGTCGGTTCTTGAATCAACTCAGCTCCCTTCAAAGATCCATCATCGTCTTTAGACCGCTTCTTGCTTTTGGTATCCGATATAGAATAATACCATCTAGCAGTCATGATTCATGACTCCACATATTCTCTAGGATTGAGGTAAACAAGAGGAGGCTCAATCATCTTGATGATTCAGGAGTGTTAACGCTAGTTGGATGTTGATTTAGTTGAAGTTGGGGGTATAAGGAGAGATTATTTAAATGAAGTTAGAGGTATAGGAAGAGATGATTTAGTTGAAACTTAGTGCATTAGGAGAGATGATTTAGTTGAATTTTGGGGTATAAGGAGAGATGATTTAATCGAAATTGGAGGTATAAGGAGAGATGATTTAGTTGAAGTTGGAGGTATAAAGAATTAAAGATTTAGTTAAAGTTGAAGGTATAACGAGAGATAATTTAGTTGAAGTTAGAGGTATAATGAGAGATGATTGAGTTGAAGTTGGAGATATAACGATAGATGATTTAGTTGAAGTTGAAGTTATCACGAGAGATAATTTAGTTGAAGTTGAAGGTATAACGAGAGATGATTTAGTTGAAGTTGAAGGTATAACGAGAGACAATTTAGTTGAAGTTGAAGGTATAACGAGAGATGATTTAGTTGAAGTTGAAGGTATAACGAGAGATGATTTAGTTGAAGTTGAAGGTATAACGAGAGATGATATAGTTGAAGTCGAAGGTATAACGAGAGATAATTTAGGTGAAGTTGAAGGTATAACGAGAGATGATTTAGTTGAAGTTGAAGGTATAACGAGAGATGATTTAGTTGAAGGTATAACGAGAGACAATTTAGTTAAAGTTGAAGGTATAACGAGAGATGATTTAGTTGAAGGTATAACGATAGATGATTTAGTTGAAGTTGAAGGTATAACGAGAGATAATTTAGTTGTAGTCACCATGAGGTTCACCTGAAAGAATTCCCTTTTAAGCCGACTTGACAATGTTGCGTATGCATGATTGATGATGGTTGTATTCATCATGCAATGTTCGACACTGATGATACTGTTGTGTCCTCGAACCCTCCAAGTATAACACTCAGAGAACTGATCATCAACAGCTGGTTACTGTCCTAGCTGCTACAAGTAACAACAGCTTACAAACAGGAAGCGGTGGTTAGGGAATCCTCAGGTGAGGGGTCCAGTGGACTGTCCTTAGATGGATCATTTCTCTCAACTTATGTGCCATGATTATAATACAGACCAGGCACAAAGTCGCCAAACAGTTACATAGAGGCTACTTGTTGCTTACTTCAAAAAAATGTTGAATGTTGAATTCACAGCACTCAGAACATACCCACAAAGCGCACTAGTAACTGTATCCGTCTCGCATTTCCTTTGAATGTTAGGCGTCGGCTAGATCCTCTGGTAATCTCTCTCAGTACTACTCTCATCAGACCGTGATTAACTTCAAACAATCAAAACGAAACGGCTGTAATGAAGATGTCTTAAAAGACGAAGAGAACTGATTGACTACATCTGAAGGAGACTATCGACATTCTTTGGTCATGTGATGAGAAGGAAAAATCTGATCTTTACTTTACTACTTTTATTTATGTGGTACGAACTATGCTACATATGTGTATGTTGTTGCTTCCAGTACGAACACTATGAATGGCCTATGTATGCCAGTATGTTTTTAATCTCTTTACTTGATTGTCATCTGATGCCTTGTCTCCATTCCCGCCCTTAGAGACGTGTGCGAGGAGATGTAGACTTCTATAAAGGCTGGGCTGATTACAAGAGAGGGTTTGGAACCCCAGACACCGACTTCTGGATTGGAAACGACAATATTCACGACCTCACCTCACAGGTAACTGCATTACTTCTTGTTTCTCATTGCATTTTTTTTTTTAAATGAATGACCTTCCTAGGATTGTTAATATTGTCACTATTACAATAAAACCTGCAAACATGCACAACAAAACTGTGGCCTTCTCCTTATTTGTCTTCTACTCATTCTCTGCCTTCTTCTTTTTATCTCCTTCTTCTTATCCTACGTATACTTCCTTCTACCCCTTCCTCGTCCCTTCCTTCTTCTTCATCTCCTCCTTCTTCTTCTTTCCCTCTTCCTTATCCATAACCTCCTTCTTCTCCTCCTTCTGTGTCTCCTCCTCTTTCTACTCCCTCCTTCTTCTCATTCTTTTTGCGACATCATCTTCTCTTGCTCTTTATTTTCCCCTTTTTTGTGCACATCCTCATTTCTTCTCCTCACCGTTCTCTCCTTCTCCTCTGCCCTACTTCTCATTTCCATTTTTATCCCCATTCTCCTTAACAATTTTCCTCTCTTTCTTGTTCTTGTTCTTTTTGTCCTTCTTGTTCTTGTTCTTTTTGTCTTTCTTGTTCTTTATTCTTCTTCTTCTTCTTCTTCTTCTTCTTCTTCTTCTTCTTCTTCTTCTTCTTCTTCTTTCTTCTTCTTCTTCTTCCACCTCTAATTCCTCTTCTTCTCACCGTAATTCTATTGTAAGCTAGTTCGACTTGATGCACAAGACATTAAAATACATTTCTCATTATTTACTATATCCTGTGATATTTTCAGGGCTACAACGAATTCCGTGTCGACTTTGTCCACTCCAACTCCGAGTACTTTGCTCAATACACCAACTTCACCGTTGGCGATGAGTTATCTGGATATCTCATCAGGATTGGTGGATATTCCGGAAACGTTTTCGACGCCATGAATTATCATAACGGCTACAAATTCAGCACTTTTGACAGGGACAATGATCTAAGCGGCAGCAGCTGTGCCGTGCTGTTCCACGGAGCATGGTGGTACAATGCGTGCCAGTACTCCAATCTGAACGGGGCGTGGGCAGTTGCTGGTACCACGGGCATTTCTTGGCGTTTTTCAGTCAATGATTCCTTAATGAACTTGTCATTTACTGAGATTAAGGTCAGGTATAATAAGAGGTGAAATCACTTTCCCTGGAACTGCTACTAACTGTTTGTGCACACATGTTGTCTGAATGTTTTCGTTCTTTGTTTTCGTCTTTACATATTTCTCATTTCGACGTATAGTTAACTCAATTCACAAAGCCTGTTGTATGTTTATTAGGGCTGTACTGAATATTCGCTTCGTATTCGCTGCTGGGCCGAAAAGTGGACCTATTATCTATTCCGTAGTGGGCCGAATAGTTGCGGTTGGGCCGAATACGAATAGTAGTTACCTTACACCCGCTTCTGCATGCACGGCCGTAATACTAACAACATGGAACGATTGGCTTTGTTGAAAACTAATGCACCTTTCATGCATTTAAGTAAAAGCTCTCAGTGACCATTTCCAAGTTTAGTTACTTGTTATAATACTTAGGATTCTTTCATTTCTAGTTATTAGTTACCACAGACTGACTGAAGGATGCAAAACATAAAATGTTTTTAAATGTTTACTATTTTGTACGAATTCTAACTAGACATGGAAAGAATATAAACTCCGGTTACATCCAAGTCGATAATGTGAAAATCAAACAAACGGAAACATATAAGTACTTGGGTGCAAACTTCAACTGCTCCAACATGCTGAGAGAAGAAATACAATCTAGAATACAATCTAGAATACAATCTAGAAATAAAGTATACTATGCCCTTCAACATCTAGTAAAGTCAAAGTGTCTGTCTCGCAACACTGAGATCAGAATATATAAAACGTTGATAAGACCAGTCGTGTTATATGGCTCTGAAACTTAAAGCAGAAATGAAAAAGATGAGGCCTTATTACAGGTTTTTAAAAACAGTCTGCTGCAGTAAACCTCAAGGGCTCAGAATGTTAAAGAAAAAGATGACTATTCTGTGCTACTTTATGTGAAGTAAAAGTTCAGCGTACATTTGACATTATGAATTTTTGTGTGGATATATTACATACACTATTCACTATTTGTATTCATATTCGGCCGAATAGTTGGTCCCATTATTCATATTCGGCCGAATAGTTGGTCCCATTATTCATATTCGGCCGAATAGTGAAAATCACTATTCGGTACAGCCCTAATGATCAGCTCTAGTGAGAACCAGAACAGACTGCATATGAGACATTTAACAGGAAGGCGACGGGGAGATCAAGAAAGAGATAAACAAATGGTGTAGCTGAAAGCCGCAAAATGATGAACAAATCAATCACCGAAGCCACCCGAGAAGCGCAAGAAAAATACAGAAAACTGGTATACTGGACCACGACCTAGTATCAGTGAGACGACAAAAGAAGAACTGCGTCTTTAAAGTCACTTGAAAATACTTAGTGCTTTCGTAAAAAGTTTATTAACCTCCTGGATACATGTCCTGGATTAGAGTCGTTTAAGGGAACAGAAACGTTAACTGTGGTAAAATCCAGTTCCTTCATCAGCGTGTCCACCAAGCATGAAAGAGACATGGAGACCAAGAGAATTGTCAAAGAAAATCATGGAGGTGCTCATTACTACAGGAGTCTGCTACAAACGGAAGTCGCTCTTTCTCAACTGTCTCAAGAATGAAGTACCTCTTTCCAAGATAGGCTGTTCAATAACAGAGGTTTTGTCCTGAATCCATCGTTTGTACGAATTATAGTAGAAGGGCGTCGTTGAAGAACGAGTTTTCAGTTGTATTTTAAGTTTTATTCTACATGTAGATTTCACTGTACACAAATACAAGTTCACTGAATGTAATCTCATTGTTTTATCTGAAATTAATCCAGTGAACTGTGACTAAAAGGCTCAGCAAAGAGAGGGGGGGGGTGAGAGAACAATGTGTATAAAAAGACAAATTGACGTTTCGGCGAATGCCCTTCTTGACACGAACTAACTACAAAACAATAACAAAGGGGGTTGGGGGAGAGGGGGGGGGTGGTGCTCCAACCCCCAGCGGGTCAAGTAGAAAATTATAAAATAACTGGGAAAGAACAAGTGATGTGGAATGAATAACATGAAATACAATGAAATAAGTAAGAATAAACTCACAGGGAGCAAGTACAGCGGGGATCTACAGTCATCAGTAGAAATTATCCTCTTTCGACACACGTTTCGGCCCACGATTCCTAAACGTATTCGGAGGTGGGCCCACCTGAAGTCTATGAAGCTCAGGGCTGCTTCCCCGCTGCACAGTAATTACGGATGGTGTTATCTATTTTTCGGCCAGAGACAAGGACGACGTAGTGGTTTCCAAGGAGGTACGTGAGATAAGAAGCCGCCGCGGCAGGATTTGGGAAAGGGAACACTGGGGAGCAATTAGGGCCCCCGAGGGCTTTCAAAGGGGTGAAAACTCTTTTCCATAGACACCCGGACCACTCACCAGGCCCCCCCCCTACGTTTTGGGGCTCGTCCAAAACCACCGAGGCCCTTGGCTGTCTCCCAGTTGTTTGAGTGCCCGTTTTTTGTTCATTACCGCGCAATCCTGTTCTTTTACCACATTTTAAGGAATGGGAAAAAAGGCCTCTCGCTCCCATTCGAAAAGGCAAATACCCCTTTGTGTAAGCTTCGTTTTTTCCTCAAACCGGGGTGTAAATCACTGTATTTCGGCTTTACAAATGTTCTCCTCCATCCGCAACCAAACGGGACGTAATCAATCAAATGGCTGGTTTTTGCGCCCAAAGGAGAACGATGTCCGGTCGCAGGCCGGTTTTAGATCAACTGGGATACCGTTTATGGCCCGGAGATCAAAACCCCCAGTAACCTCCCCGCGAGTCAGCGGGGAGGAAA